TCCCCCCCCCCCTCTGATTAATTAGAAAGTACCAACCTCAAATTAAAAAGGCCTCCGTCACGGCTACTGTACCTCGCCCTATTCCTTGGTCCATCCACGGATTCTTCCCTGTCCCAGGAAGTCAGCATTGCCCCACCGCGCTGCTCACTCCTCTCCAGCGGCAACATTTCTCTCTGCCCCCCCCCCCAATTCTCTCTCTCTCTAAAGCAGGGGTTCCCAACCTTGGCAGCTTTAAGACCTGTGGACTTCAACTCCCAGAATTCCCCAGCCAGCATTGCCAAAGTTGGAGACCCCTCCCTGCTCTGAAGGACAGCGACATTCCCTGGATCGGGGCCCTTGGCCTGGGCACAGTTTATCTTTGAACATGCAAATTCCTTGTTATCGCAGTAACTGTAATCCGTTCCAAGAAAAAAAGTATTTAAATTTTGTACCTATAGCAATAAAATAAGTAAGAAGGCCCACAAAATCTATTCTTATTTAAAAAAACAAATATTGCCTTTGTGGTGCGTTCCAGAATATTCTGAGTCTACCTGCACAGGAACACCCACAGACACACCGAGGTGGGGGTCTTGAGATCAAAAAGAAGCAATTCAGAGGCTGAGGATCGCATCGACCTCCCAAACCGCTTTTGGGCGACCCCCCCCCCAAGTCTGCTCCCCGCAACCGCGTGGCTGAAATCGGAAGGAACGTTTGTAATCTGGTTTCCAACCAATTTCGGAGAGGAAACAGGTGAGGAGTAAAATTGAGTCTCAAGGCGACTAAATTGTCAGGAGGAACGGGAGAAAAATGGAGCCCCAGAAAGCTTGATTGCTCTCCCCCCCCCCCAGCGCGTTGTGTATGTGCAACATACAACAGGCCGCAACCCTTGGACCCCAGAAGTAACGCTGGAGTCTAACCCCCCCACCCCCGCCCGCAGAACAGCTGCCAATCTCTGCCTCGCCTGAAAATAAATGCTCAGCTGTGAATCAGGATGATAATTCAGGAATATCCCGCATTATTTAAAGCCGGCGAGAGATGCCTAAACAAACAGCGCGTGTTGCACCTTCTGGTTTCCTGGGGATTTTCCCTCGGCATTGCTCCCCGCCCCCTCCAGACCAAGAGGGTCGCGTTCCTCCCCCGCCTCGGAAGGGGTCGCCCCCTCCAGAGAAAAAGCTCCAGCGCCTTTCAAGGAGGGCCGTTTGTTCTGAAATCCAATCCTTACACCCGTTTGCCAAAAACACACCTGCCCACTTCACCCGCGCTTACCTTCCCGTCAGGGGAGGCGGATCACCTTACACCCCCCCCCGTGGACCCACCGCCGGACCCCCAGCCAGGCGAACCTTTGGGGGGGGAATTTTGCTCTTCTCGGCCGCTCCCAGGCCACCTTTTACACAGCGAAGAGGCCATTTATCCTGCTCCGCACAAAGGACCCCCCCGTTCCGCCTGTAGCTGCCTCAGCCGACGGCACTCAGCTGGACCCGAGAAATGTCCGCTCACCCTGAACCCCTCTGGCAGGCCGTTGAACCCCCCCCCAGGTCTACTGAGGAGACCAAGGGCTGCTCGTGGGGACCCGGCCTCCTCCCAGCCCATTGGGGGCCGGTTTCTGAGGGAGGGTCTCTCCGGGTCTGTGCAAAATAGAGTCGGTGGAGGGGCCGCAGGGAGCCCCTGCCCGTCCCCCGAAGGCAAGGGGGCCGGAAGAGGCCGGAATGTGGCGAGGTGGGTCTCCTTTTCGCAAAGCAGCTGGTGAAGTGAGGCCAAGCAGGATTAGCAACTGTGAAAGCCCAGCCACGCTCACCCGCGAGGGACCGGCGCAGGGTCCCGTTTATTTATTATGACACTTATCTGCTGCCTGCCTTGTATCCAACGACTTCCACAAGGGCCACTCCTCTCTGGGCTTCTTCTAAGGGGCTCATAAACCACTGTAGGCAACTGGGAAGTTGACAATCCGCAGCCACGGCACCCCCACAAACCCTGCCAGCCTCCCAGTGATGGCCCTTACAAGGACATGATGCATCTGGCGCCAGCAGTTGATTTTACTGTGTGCAAATCGCAGTCTTTGCATAAGGGCACCTTCACACACACCCCACACCACATACATACACACATACATAGGTGGATATCCAGGAAACTAATCCTACAGCTGCCTTTCCCATGTACGCTGCCATTTGCACACACACACAACCGTCCTGCTACTCCATGCCAGGGAATGGCGTATTGAGTGCAGAAAGGGAGCAGGGGAAAGTGAGACACAGAAACGAAAGTTATGCCAAAAAAAGGGAAAGCAAATACAGCTAAATTTAAACTAATACAAAATCCTCAAATACCTCTCGGTAGCTTCCTATCCTGGCAAAACCAAAGATGCTTTTTCAGGAGGCAATTGGACTGTTTTTTTTATTTTTAAAGACGTTTGGTCTTCAAAGAAAAACAAAGTCCAGTTGTCTCCTGAAAAAACACCTTTGGGACCACTCTGACCTGGATGGAGAAGCCCCGTGGAAATTTATCTTGGCAAAACCGCCTCCTTCCAGTGGATCGATCCCCCGTTTGGTCCTCTGGCTTGTCTCCCCTTGTCTGTTTCTTCAGGAGCGGCTAGGCGCCCCCGTCTCGTCTCTTCTCTCCTCCTCCTCCTCCTCCTCCTCCTCCTCCTCCTCCTCCTCTGCCTGCCTATCTCTATTTTCCGAGTGATCTTCACTTGTTTTCTTTCTGCGACCAAACTCTCAGAAAATCTCTTTTGCGCAGACCGCTGGCTTTTCAGGCAAAATAATATTCAATTCCCTGGTCCAATTGCTTTCTTGTTTCATCTCCCATATCTAAAGTCCCAGTATTTTTGCCGTTTCTCCTGACCTTCTTAACTCTCACTTCCGGGTTTTATTTATTTGTCGCGTTTCACAAATACGGCCTGAAGTCCCCGCTGATCCACCGCCGCTTTCACGACACGTCTCCTCCCGCGAGCAGCCGCGATGGCCCCACCAGCACTTGGGCGCCCCAAACATTCTTCATCTATTCTCCTCCTTTTGGCGAACGTCCCAGCGAGGCACCGGCGCTCCTCTCCAGCCCCCAGTTGCTGTTTTCGTGCAACCTGCAATTGCTCGCTCCGTTTTCCCTGCTAAGAAAACGGCGGTTTCCCAGGTAGTGAATTGCAGGTCCCGATTCCTCGCGGTACTCACTGCAAACCCTTCAACACGTTGACCTCCCCTGCGTGCAAAAACACAGGCACACCCATGCCTCCGACCGGGACGTTCTTAATTCCACCCCAAGTGTTTCGTCTGCATTTGTTTGTAATTGCACGAAACACCTTCACTTCAGCATCCGGCCTTTTGCAAGCTTCCCATTTATCCATGCACACGCACACTCTCCTCCCGTCACCTCACACGCAGCAGCAACCTTCCGCTCCGAGGTGGTGCAAAACAGTTCACGACGGAAGCCTGTTCAATTCAGCGCCGGGGTTTTGTCTCAAGCCACGAGCTTCACATAAATTGTGTTTCTCACATTCCTGCATTTCCCAGCGACATGCTGAACAGCAAATTCTGCTCCGCGCTGCCTGTTTCTCCTGCTTTCCTCCCTCCTCCCTCTTGTACGGAATTCTTCCAAACACCTTCCAGGACGTATTTCACTCCCACCCCCACCCCCACCCCTTGGCGTTTGCCTTCTGCCCTGCTTCCTCCCCCCCCCCACGTGCGCAGGGAACCGATAATAGGTTTTTTTTCCCCCAATTGTCAGCTATGGTTGCAGCCGGCCTTCTTTCTAGTCACACCATCTAAACCTGCAGCTTTACCGTTTTTCAATATTCTCTCCACATTTATGACTCTGCTGTTCTGGATTTTTTTTTTCCTCCTTGGACCAGGGATTTTTCAGTTTTTGCCAGTTTCTGGCATCTCAGCAACAGTCCCGTCCATGTTTCTACAATTATTCCTTTCAAAGCTTCCTCCTTCGCTTCAGTTTCATCCCAAACCGTTTGGTCGCTTTTATTTTGTTTCCGGAGTCTCCCTGCGTAGCCTCTTCACACACACACACAGACAGACAGACAGACAGACACACACACACACACACACACACACACACACACACGAACACATACACAGACATTGAGACACGGCTGTCCTCCACTTCTGTGGGAAGCATAACTGGGAATCTATGGGCCCCAACTGGAATGGTTTTCTCTGACCCCTCCTGCCCTGTGGCTCTGCCAAGGGATCGGAAAGCCTCCCCCCCCCCCCAGGGGATTGCAAGGACGGCATCCGCTTAAAACGCTCAGGAGGACGTTTCTGGTTGACACCTTGGTTTTCAGAGAAATGGGCTCAGATCAACAGAGTTTTTGTACAGCGCTGGTGAGTCTGCCAGGAACCAGAAAAAGTTTGAAGAGGCAGGGTCAATCCTGAGGCCGGAACGGTTAAATCAACTACCCTGCTCTCCACGCATGACTTCACGAGCGAAATTGACCTTAACGAGTTGGATTATTTCAAAACTGTACAGGGAAGCGAGGCTTAATAGACTGATAAATCGTTGAGTCACGCTGGCTCATTGGAGGGTGTAAGGATCCAAATGTTTAGATGAAAACTTTATAGGGACCCAGAGAGCAAGCAATGTGTAGAACAACAGCGGCAAAAGGAAAAAGGGGGAAAGGGCTGCGTGGGGTGGGGGGGGGCGCTTCTGCGCGGGGGCAACCAGCAGCGTCTCCCTGGCAGCTTCAGTCTTTAGATCAGGGGTTCTCAACCTTGGCAACTTTAAGACTTGTGGACTTCAACTCCCAGAATTCCTCAGCCAGCTTTGCTGGCTGAGGAATTCTGGGAATTGAAGTCCACAAGTCTTAAAGTTGCCAAGGTTGAGAACCCCTGCTTTAGATAAACGGACCTTCCCGGCCTCCCCCCCCCCGTTTCTCTCCCCTCCGTGGCCCTGGCCGGTGCCGCCGCGCACTGAAGGGCCCCGTGTCCCCCCCCGCCCCGCCCCGCCCCGCGGCCCACCTGGGTCTCGGAGAGGCTGAGGCTGCCGGCCAGCTGCTTGCGCTCGGCGCCCACCACATAGTGGTTCTTCTCGAAGGCGCGCTCCAGCCGCAGCAGCTGCGAGGGCGAGAAGGCGGTGCGGATCCGCTTCGGCTTCCGGGCGAAGGGCCCGTGGAAGAGCAGGTTCTCCTGGGACACCTCGCCGCCTGCGGAGGGAAAGCAGCCGGTCAGCGCCAACCGCCCAGGATCGGCCCCTGCAAGACGCCTCTGGACGCCTCTCCGGCCCTCAGCACCCAGAGACCCCAGGCCGACCCTCCTCCCGCCGCCACCCGCTGCCGGACCAGGCAAACGCGGGACTGAGGCGGGAGGTGGGTCCCAGGCGGACGCTGCTGCCCCTTTCCGCAGGGCCGAAGCAGGGGAGCCCCCGGAGGAGGCGAGGCGCACCCAGGGGTGAGAGGTCGGCGTTTCAGCGCCGGGAAGTCAATGGCGGAGGGGGAAGCGGAGATGCAGGATTCGGGCGGGATGCGTGTTCAGGGGGGAATCCTGGGACGCCCTAAAGCTGGATCTAGATCAGAAACCAGGCGCCCCCCCTTGCTGCAATTCCCCGGGAGCCGAGGCAGCCGTTAAAAGCGAGGTGAGAGGCAGACCCTGACACGGGCGCTTTTTCCTCGGCGCTTTCGGCTGTTCTTCCCCGAAAGCAATTCGACAACCGTATGGAGGGACTGGAGGCCTACCTTGTCAGGACGTTGTGAAGGAAGTGGCAGTCAGGAGGAAGCCAACATTTCCACGCGGAAAAGGCTGTGGGAAGGGAAAGGAGGAGCCCAGTTCTCGGTGTTTGTGTGTGTGTGTTTCTGTCTCTCTCTCTCTCTCTGTATTTGTGTGAAAGGAAGGGTCGACACCGAGCCTCGGGGGCTGAGCTGCGGCTGCCTTTGGCGGCCAGGAAGAGCCCATCCCTCTCTTTAGGGCGCGGGAGGAGCAGGGACCCGGGTAGAGAGGGAGCCGTTTAAAGGGTTCTCCTTTCCGGGGCTGAGCAATTCGACGCCCACAGGCCCACCTCAAGGAAGGCAAGGAACTGTCCTGGCAGATGGCTCGGTCTTGCGTGGGGCCAACCCCCAGCCAAGAAAGGGGGTGGTTGACTTTATGCCCCCCCCCCGCGCAAGGGGTGGGGAGGGGGAGCTGGTTCAACAAGCCCTGCCTCCGGTTTGGCTCGGGTCTCGCTGGTTGCGCCTTCGGCTTAAAGACCCCCCAAGGCCGGGAAATGGCCGGGCTCAGCGCTGAGACGCGCCCTTCGGCCCAGGCGCCCTTTCCTGCTTTGAGAGCCCGATTCGGAAAGAAGGGCCTCCGGGGAAGGGCTCCCAATTCCTTTGAACGCTCCGGCCTTGCTCCCAGCGCGCCCTCTCCCCCGGGCACTGGTCGGAAGCGACGTCCGGACGGAGCTGGCAATTCTGGGCGAGCGTCGCTCTCTCCGCCTGCCTAACGCAACCGAGAGGGGCCGGCGCTCAGTCTAAAGGTCACTTGGCCCGCCAGGGCCTTGCAGGAGGCTCGTCTCCTGCCCTTCTGGCAGCGGGACACTTGGATCTGCCCGGGGCGGCTCCTGGCTGGGGAGGACTCGGCGGGGCCGGCGAGGTCTGCCTCCTTCAGCCTGGACCCCCCAAGCAGGTCAAGTGAGAGTCGCTCCTTCGGTTCGAAAGCGGCGCGCTCGGTGGAGGCCGAGCCCGGGAAGGCGGCCTCCAAGTCCGTTCCGAGCGCCTGGCTTGCTGGAGGGGAGGTCGAACCCGCAGGAGGGTCTCCGGGGCGCGGCACGCCGCCCGGAGGCGCTTCCTCCAGGAGAGCTGGTGGGGAGGGTCGCGCACACCGGGCAAGGGAACCGGGTGGGCACAGCTCACGTTGACGGAAAGGGGAAGAGAAGGAGCGGAGCCCAACGGCCCCCGAGGGTGGCAGGAAGGCAGAGCCTCCCTCAGTCCACGCCCGGCATCCCTTCGGCCGGCCAGCGCTCCCCCGGCTGCCCTGTTGGGGCTCCTCGCGCCGCCTCTGCCCCTTCCCCGGGACGCGGCGAAGAGGGCTCCCCTGCTCTGCCCTCCTGGCCGACGAACAGAGGCCTCGAAGGCGCGCTCCTTCCAGGCCGCGGCCGAGCAGCTTCCCGGGCAAACACGAGGGACCCTGGCTCCAGCGATGGGGGGGGGGGCTCTTGGGTGAAGCGAGGCGAGCAGCGGAGGTCGGGCGCGAAGGCGGGCTGGTGCCAGGCTGTGCTCGCAGCCACTTCCCCCGGTAGGCCGCGAAGAGGGAGCCGGACGCGCCCGGAGAGGCTTCCCGGCCCGTTTCGCAGGTCCCCCTTTGCCCGCGGGAGCGAAGGTCGCAGCGCTACATTTCTCTGCGACCACTTTACTCTCTTCCGAAACAGCCCAGCTGCGGGTGGAATGCAGGCCCGGCGCCGCCCGTGGTTCCCCGATGACAACCGGGCCGGCCTTCCTCTGCTGGGCCGGGAGGGCCACTCTTCTCCTGGGTTGCGCCTGCGGAGGGTCCCAACCAACCAAGAGGGTCCCCTCTCGGAAGGGAGGGAGGGAGGGAGGGAGGGGAAGGGACGAGACGTCCGCCAGATTTCCTGGCGGGGTTCAGGCCCCCTTCTCTGAACGGATCGGCGCCGGTTTCCGCTGGGATGGATGGGAGCCACCCCGGGGTCCGCCGGCATTCCCTCCAGCGACCGGAAAAATAAAAGGAGCCTCTGTTCGGGGAAAAAGGCTTCCTTGAACCTCAAGTCTTTCCCCGCGCCCCTCAAGGACCGCTCCGCACTCGCTGGGAGTCCCTTTTCCCGCCTGGCGGAGGTCGGAATCCGGCGGATCGAATGAAGCGGCTGTAATTCCTCAGCGCCCATTTGAACTTGGAGTCTTCCTCACGCTCAAAATGCATCTTCCGAGGCAGCGCAGCGAGGCCGGGAAGAGCCAGGCCATTCTCCGCCGCGAGGAGCATCTGGACGGGCCTGCACGGCGGGTCCAGATCGCTCCCTTGCGGGGCGCCGCTCCCTGTCACTCCCGAGGGCCGTCCTTCCCCGCCGGAGCAGGGATTGCGGGGCTCCACCAAAGAGGCGGCTACGAGGGCCTTCGCTGCCTCTGGGCGCCCACTTCGCCCCTGCGCGGCCGCGGCCTCGTTGAGTCCCTTGCACCGCTCCCTCCTAAACGCTCCCCGGGGAAGCGACGCCTGAGCAGCGGGCCTTCCCAGGTCGGAGGAGGACAAAGCGAGCCGTTGGCGGGAGGACAGCCCCGGCCCCAGGTGCCGCCTGAACCCAGGGCTGCTCCTGCTGCCGCCGAGCTCCCGGGCTGGGCCGGATTTCGGAAGAGGTTCAAAGAGCGCCGCCGCTGCCCGACAGGGGCGCCTTAGCGGGGGTCTGAATCGCAACGCCCCTCCCGCGGGCACCGAGGCCCGCGCCGGTCGCCCACAGGCCCGGGAAGGAGAGAGCTGGCTGCGCCAAGGCAGCGCAAAGGCCGCGGCTGCCTTGATAGGGTGAGAAACTCGGGCCGCCCTTTGCCAAAGTCCCCCTCGGGTGGGAAGAGGCGCTGCCTCTGGCCAGCGGGAACTTCTCCCGGCCCCCGGATCGCGATTCGGTTTCCCTACGGGACCGACGGGGCTCGGCTGCCACCTGGCACGGATTGCAGGCCGGGCGATTACAGCCGCTCCGAAGCGCCAAGGCCGGCGCCGAAGGGCCCCGACCGCGTGCCCGCGGCTCCCCGAAGGCGCTGCTTACCTTGGAAGCGGTGCCCGAAGAAGCGGTTCCGCAGCACCCAGGGATAGAAGTTGAGCGGGTCGCGCGGCTGCGGGCCGAAGAAGGGGTGAGGCGAGGGGGGCAGGTGCGAGGAGCCCAGCGGCGGCGGATGGACGGCAAGGGCGGGCGGGTGGCTCACCACCTCCGGGAAGAGCAGTTCCGGGCCGCCGTAGAGCGAACGCCCGCCGGCGGCGGCCGAACCCTGGAAGCTGTGGGCGAAGGCCTCGACGGCGGCGCTGGCCGGGTATCCGAGGGCGGCGGCGGCGGCGGCGGCGGCTGGACGGAGAGGCTCCTCTGCCAGCGGGTGGCCGTTGTCCTTGCCCACTAGGGACTCGATGGTGAAGCAGCGCTTGGACGCCGCCGCGGGCTGGAACATGACTCAGGGCCGGGCGAGGGCGGCGCTCAGGCGGACCCGGGCGCGGGGACACGAGGGATCCACGTCAGGCTCGGCGCGCAACCGGCCCGAACCGGCAGCAGATCCGGGCGCACTGGACCGGGGAGGGCGCGGCGGCGGCGGCGGCGGCGGCAGCGGCAGCGCCAGGCGGCTCTGGGGAGGTGGCAGCCGCACTCCCACCCGTGGTTCACCCGCGCGCCCGCCTCCCACCCCATCCACCCGGTGCGCAGTGGGCGCGCTCCTTGGCTAGCCGTCCAGATAAGCCGGGTACCTGCGGCCCGCCCCTCTGATTGGCCAGGTTCACCTGCCCCAGGGTTGGGGAGGGCATGTGGGAAAGGCGGAGGGAGGGAGGGAGGGAGGGAGGCGGAGGGGAGGAGGCAGCGGGGTCGCCGCCAAAAGGCGGACTGGAGCGCCCGGGAGGCTGCGCTGAGCTCCGGATCCGCCCCCGCCGCCCCGCCCTCGCGCTGGCCAGAAGGCAGGCAGGCGGAGAGAGCGATCGCGCTCGGCAGAGGGAGGGTTCGGCTGCCCGCCCGGGCTCTTCGCGGCGCCCGCATCCCGAGTCCCCCTGCCCAGGCCGGGCTGGCAGAAGGCAGAGCCGGCGCCGCCCTGTCGAGGAGAAGGGCCATTCCCGAGGCCGAAGACCCTTGGCGGCTCCCGGGGGCCTTGAGGCCTCCAGGGGCGGCTTCTCCAAGCCCCGACGGAGCTCTCCGTCGCGTCGGCTTTCGCGCACTTTCTCGAGGGGGAGGGGCAGCGGTGTGGGTCGCGAGCGCAGCCGGAGGCACGGAAGCCGCCCTCCGAGTTCCGCCGAGGCGCTTCGGGGCAGAACTGCAGGCTGAGGAGCCGAACTTCGCCGGGTGCAACGGCCGCTTCTGTCCGTCTCCGAAGACTGAGAGCCCCCAAGCCCAGCGCGGGGCGGGCGCGGCGTCTTTCCACCGACAGAGGCCCGTTCGCGCCCCTCCCGTGGAGCCCGCGGCAGCGGCCTCGCTACCTGCGGACCGGGAGAGAAGCGAGACGGTCGGGGGCTCCTCTTGACCCGGCCGCCTGAGGACCGCCTCGGCTCCGGAGTTTCCCCCGTCCTGTTGCTGCCGGTCAGGCTGAGAAGGGCGGCTGGAGCGCCCGTGTTGGTTCCGGAGGAAAGGCGGGGACCCACCCCGCGCCGCTGCGCTGTGGTCCGAACACTGGAAGGAGTTTGGGGCGCGGGATAGCTGGCTGGGCCCGCCCGTCACTTGGTAAGTAGCCCCGGTCATCGCTACCGGGAAGGGTCCCGTCGTGGCCTTTGTCAGGTCCTTCCCACCACCACCGGCGGAGCCTGGAAGGGCCCCGATTCTTGTCTGCCAGAGGCCCGGTCGGGCTTCGCTCGCCTTGGTCGCCGCGGGGGTGGTGGGAGAAAGCAGCGCGTTGTGACCGCGGCGAAAGGGGCCGGTTCCGCAAGACGCGGAGTCTCCGAGTCCCCCCGAGTTCTCACAAGCTGCTCCCCCCACCGGCCTTAAGGCCGAGCCTCACCGCGCCTGCCTCGGCCGCTCTGGCTGCGCCGGTTATGTGGACGGAGCGAGCGCAACCGTTGCAAGAGCCTCTCCGGGCAGGCGGGAGAAAAGCTGCGCTCCCCTCATCCCGACACCGGGAGGGCAGCTCCGCGCTCTCCGCGGCCGGAGGTTCTTTTCCTGCGAGGCCTTCGCGTCCCTTTCCCGAGGGTCCCTTTCGTGGAGAGGCCGCTTTTTCCGCCGCGGTCGGCCGTCTGCCTTCCTCGGGCAGCGAAGCCACGAGCGCCCTTTCCAAGCGGCCTCTCCAGCCGGCGCGCGTCCCCTGCTGCGGCCCGGGTAGCGCAGGAGAAGCCCAACCGGAGCCTCCGATCCGGGATCCAGCCGGGCCGTCTCGTTTCTTCCGCCGGAGGCCTCCCGGCTGCCTGCTCAGGGCGCCAGGGCCGGGCGCGAGAGACGCGGAGGTTTTCCGGGCGGCCGGGAGTGGGCGAGGGTCCCCAGCGGCAGAAAGAGGGGGGCCTGGACGGAAGCGGCTTCTGGGTTCCCGGCTAACGGCGGGTTGCGACCTCTCTCGCCTTCTTCCAGCGGCCGACGGGCGGCGGGTTTGGAGTGCCCGGCTCAGCGGGAAAGGGGCTGCCGGCTGCTCCGAGGCGTCCCGGTGAAACCGGGAAGATTTCATTCGGAGCCGCGGCCTGAGAGATCCTGGAAGGAAAATAATGCAGCCGGGGGGGGGGAGTGGAGGGCGGGGGCGGCTCCCACCCTGGAGGTTTTCAGCGGCGGCCGGGCTGCCCTTTGTCCGGGAGGGTCTGGGGGTTCAAACGTCTCCTCCCACCCTCCGAATCTCAGGTTCTCTCCCAGAAACCCGGCGCAGGCCTGCATGTCGGGGAGACGTAACGTATCCTAGGAGCTGCCTTTTCGGGATGCCGGTATTTTTCAGAGGAGCCGTTTCCGCGCAATCGCCGCTCTCTTCGTGCGCTCTGACCCCCGAGCTCGTGTCCACGAACGCCGCGTCTCCCTCTCTGCTCCTTCGGCTCAATACGCGACGCTTCCTCCTCAACGTTGCCTTAATTTCCGTTTGCATCCCCTGGGGAGGATCCAGCCGTCCGCTGCGCAGGAGGAGGCCCTGCATCCCGGACGGTGGAGGCGCTCCACAGAAAGGCCGTCCCGGACACGTCTGCGGCGGCGACCGAGCTGCCCTTCGCCCTTGGACGGCGCGGCCTTTTCCGAAGCGCTCCGGTCCGGCCCCCCAAGGGGCTCCCGCCGTTTCCAGCAGGGGAGCAAAGGAGGCGCCTCCTCGCTCGTGAACGGCTCTCCTCGCAAAGGGAAACGCGAAGCCGGATTAAGGCCCACCAGCGCCCAGACGGAACAACGGCCCGGCGGCCGCTCCCTCGCTTCCCTCCGGGCCGGTCTTCACCGCAACCTTCACGCTCCCTTCCGCGCGTGGGAAGAGGCCCGGACGCCTGGCTGAGCAGATGGAGCTGACGGGGCTTTGCCCCCCCCCGGGCCCCAAGCAGCGTCCTTCGCGCGCCCCCTTCGGGCTCCCGGTCCTTCCGCTGCCCCCCCCCCCGTCGAGGCGGGCAGAGCAGGGCGACCGGCCGAAGCAAGGCGGACTTCGGCGAGGCCCGGCTCGGGTGGCCAGGCGGGCGCTGGTCTCCCTCGTCAGCGCGAAGGTGGAGGGCGCTGGGCAGGCAGGGCGCTCCTGTCCCCGGGGCCCCAAGGCATAGAGGGCTCGAATCTGAAGGCCGGGCCGGGCCGGGCCTGGTCGTTTTCGGCTACAGAGAGCTTCTCGCCCGCCCTTTGACGGAGAAAGAGGCCCTTGACCGACCCGGGTGGTGGGTGGGGCGGACGGATGAGAATATCACAGTGTTTCTCAACCTTGACCATTTTAAGGCATGTGGACTTCAACTCCCAGAATTCCACAGCCAGCAATGCTGGCTGTGGAATTCTGGGAGTTGAAGTCCACATGCCTTAAAATGGTCAAGGTTGAGAAACACTGATTAGAAGATGGCCACCTTTACTTCAGGGCATCCAGAAGACCAGCTGGGTCCCCCGGTGGGGGGGGAGAATCTGGGCATCCACCCCAAGAGGCTTCCTACCAGCTGCCAGCATCAGAAGACTAGAGAGTGATCTGCCCAGTCAGTGGATTCCCCCGGGCCTTTCTGGATCTTTGGGATCCCCAACTCCATCTGACTTGGAAGCCAAATTCTGTCCGGGCCTGGCGGTGCCGTGGCTCTGAGGCAGCACGGAGGCTGAAAGCTGAAGCCTCCCCTTGAATGCAGCCGGCCCAGAAGAGTCAGGGCTGGCTCTCTAACAGCCCCTCGGCCTCCCCTCCGCCCGCCCGCTGCCTACAGGGCTCAACACCCCCCACCCCCGCAAAGTCAGCGGGGCTGAGCAGGAATCCCCACTGGCTGTGGGCACCTCCTCCTCCTCCTCCTCCTCCTCCTCCTCCTCCAGGGACGACTGCTTTGCCCCAGAGTAGCCTGGCAGACAAAGCAGCAGAGGTGAATCGCCCTGTCGCCCCCCCCCCACGCATTGCTGCAGCTGTTGCTGTCTGGAGCACCTGCCTCGCCCCTTCCTCAATGCGCAGCCTAAAAGCTGCCCAGGTTTTGAAGTTCTTCTTGCATAACTGGAGAGGGGGTCGGATTTACTGGTGGGGGTGAGTGGGGGGTGGGAAAAGATACCTCCCCCCCACTCTTTCTAAATTAAGTATATTCTAAATTGTCTTTTTTTTTTTTTTAGAACAGGTGAATTCCCATAGGAATTCAGGCTTCCTATGCAGCTCCTACTTTTCCTAAGGAATTTTGGCTGGGGAAAAAAAGGCTCCTTGGTCACTTGAGCCAGAAATTTCTTTTGATTGTGGTGCTTCTCTCTCTCTCCCTCCCTCCCTCTCTCTCTCTCTCCCTCTCTCTCTCCCTCCCTCTCTCTCCCTCCCTCCCTCCCTCTCTCTCTCTCCCTCCCTCTCTCCCTCCCTCCCTCCCTCCCTCTCTCTCTCCCTCCCTCCCTCTCTCCCTCCCTCCCTCTCTCTCTCTCCCTCCCTCCCTCCTCCCTCCCTCCCTCCCTCCCTCCCTCCCTCTCCCTCCTCTCCGCTCCCTCCCTCCCTC